TATAGACGATATAAGTTATATGGGTATAATATTATAAAGAACATTTATAAAACAAATTTATTTAATGTGTTTTGTTTCAATGTTCAGGATTGTGAAAAAGGCCTAACATGGATATCATTTGTTGTATTAGTTGAATCATATGTACGAGAATAAAAAAGAACTTAATATAATGGTCTTTCCGGCTATCAATTCCACCCTGAGTGTGTGTGATGTCTAATACGACTATAATTTCCATCTTACATGAAATACCTTGATTTTGTTATTTCTAACATCATTGAAACGCTTCGAAGAAGAACAACTAATGAACAGTCTGTGATCTTTATCACTGTATGCTACAGAGTTAGGGAAATAAAGGTCTGCTTTCTCTAATCCAACGACCTCACATTTCTTGAAGGTGCTCGACAGTCTTTCAATATGTTGACTGTAACTGTCGCACACCAGCAGCGTTCCATCTTCTATCTCTTGTATTCCCTTTGGGAACACATGTGTCTGATCCTCGTACATTTGTACAACCGTACCTTGCCAGTCCATTTTTATACACTTGCCAGCATATGTGTGCTTGTAATTGGATACATACATGAATTTCTCATCACTGCTGATAACAATCTTTTCAGGTGAATCAAACAATCCAAGAGTATCAAACATATGTGTGATATTTCCTGTTGTATCTAAAATAACAAGCTTTCCTGAGCTACAACCACAGCCGACTGCTAGCATACCTTGACCATAAGCTACACACTTACACTCTTCTCCAACATCTATTCGACGATCAAAAGTCAAAGTTAAATTATTGTAAGGCACCATCTGTATACACTTTTCATCAGGTATGGCGACTGCAAGTTTATTGTCTCGAAGTTTTATCACATCATGTGGTGCCGAAGACAAGGTTATCTTTGATACCAGCTTTCTCGTGTCTGTATTAATCATTTTAATTGTTTTATTGTTATCATCAGCCACGGCCATGTCTCAGAAATTATTGCCATTCCAACGATATTACATCGCTTCTCAGAGGGAAATGTCACCATGCATGATTTTTCATATTATAATTCCAATTCCTTATCTGCTGTGCGTGCTTCATATGCTACAGTAGTTCCTAAATTTTTTGCAACCTTCAACTCCTTAAGTATCTTTTCGTTTCGGACAAATTTAATGTCATCATCTGTTCTGTTGTCTCCGATAGCGCGTTTTCCTTTGTCATCAAGTTTTATCATAACGGATCGGACATTCTTCATTTCAACAAAAAGCTTATTGTGTTTGTTTTCTTTACTTAAAGCACTTAAAACTGACTGTGAACGCTTCACTTCCTCAGCTATCTCTTCACAGACAACCTTGACATTCCTCAGTTTAAGTTTTGCTTTGATAGTAAGATTTTCGGCTTCCTGTATCATTACAGATTCCATCTGATCCAAAAATGCGTTTATTTCTTTCCTGAAAAGCTTTATTTCTTCAACGACCTTTCTGTAATTTTGATCAAGTTGTTTCGTTGCAGCTTCTGCTCGTCTGATTTTCGATTCATACTTCTTGATCAGCATTTCAATCTTCCTAGAGAAATTTATAAACTCATCGGATAAGTTTCTTGAAACTTCAGGAATATAGTCAACTTTACATTGTTTATGTATGTTCCAGTGTAGCACAAACGTAACATAATACAACTTCATGATTGTTACAGTAGAAATCCAGTTGTTTATCCCTATGTTTAGTACATGTGTCCGTTATGGGGTCCACGTTAATTTCAACGGTAATTGGCTGCATTGGCATTGCGTCTTTGTCCAGCAAAATGTGATTCCTAGATGGCTTTGGCCTTGTATGGTATTCAAAGCAAGTTTTGCAGAGGTGCTCATGACAGTCTTGACAATAGCCATGAGCCGGCGCCTTCAGCCCATCTTGGTCGCATTGAAGACAGTATTATTGAAGGATCTGCTTTGTGTCCTCATTTATCTTCCCAGAAACCTCCATTTCGATCTTAAAGAAGAGTATTGAACTATAAATTGAGAACTATAAATTGAAATTTATATATATATATATATTTTCATTACAATTCATAACACTTTAAGGAACACATTTAATATTGTTTACAATCGCAACCGTCAATCTTTGGATAAGGACCTCGAACACAATGATATGAATACACGGTTAGTGGTATATTTTAGTCTTACTTTCGCTTCAAAATGTAAGCATGTAAATAAATAGCGAGAAAGGGCTTTGATTCGTTGATTTTTATTTCATGAAATCATGTAGAATATAGAAAAACAAAATTTATGAACGCCCAAAAACGTTAAAATTGAAACTATTACAGGCTGTGTTTAATTCAGTCTTTTATGTTGGTTGTTTTAATGCATGTAATCGGCTTGATCAAAATACAACATATAATTATTAAGAAACTTTGAATACATGTGTTCATATGGCAGTCATCGTGAAACCTTCAATGTGACACGTTTATCAGGACGTATAGTAATTCCGATAGGCTACACTAACTGCAGTCTAGAAGATTAGACGATTATCACGAGTGAGTTAAACGATAGCAAAATTATTATCTTATCAAAATAAGTCATCCCTTGGTTCATATAGCCGTTCAGTAACATAATAAAACACCAACTGTTTCTTCATTTATTGGTTTGTATTATGCTTCGCATTTAGTGATAAAATTAGATAAAAGCAGATTGTTGTAATTGCAAGACAAACTGAATTTTATGGGCGTTTATGCACAGTGAGGATGTCTTATGCTTTCGATACTTTGACATTAACGATAAACACGTTTCTTTTTAACACTTATTCTCTATACTCCATAGTAATTTGCAAAAACAAAAAAAACAAAAACAAAACAAACAAAAAAAACAGCGTAGGGGAGAGTTTCAATTGAACAAGTGTAGTTTCATGATATTTCCAAAAGATGGTGTAGTCCACAATATGGAAGAAGACGGTTTATAAGATTGTTAACAGATTAGTTTCCAGTTTTTTTTCTTTATGTCCTGTTAGACCTTTTTCAGTGGTCATGTGTTGGTGATTGTTGGTGTTAAGGAATGCGTTCATTGAATGGTACCCTTCTTGTTTATCTTTGTTTTCATTTTTTGTTTGTTTTACATAAAAGTGAACTGTAAAAGAATATGAACAGAAGAGAACATATAATTTATTTTGATTTAAGCATATACAGCTCATCCTTATATACAACAAATATATACATGCATGAATATGAAAAATGGTAAACGCATATCAATAAATGCAATCAAATAGTGACAGTGTAATACAACACATGTAATATATACACAATCATTATGTAACTTTAAACAATACAGACAAGGTGGTCTTATATATCATTTTCCGGCATTCAATGAATCCAAAATTAATCTAAAAGCTCTATTACAATATATAGCTAATTTTGTTAACACTGACTTCCTTTCCGAATTGAGCAATTCTAAAAATTTAAACATGCTAGGGTTTCTTGCAAAATAGTTGATATATATATACTGTTTCCTAAGAGAATCATACAAAGAGCAAATCAGTACAAAGTGATATTCATCTTCGATGTCATTATTATTGCAAAATGTACATTTTCGGTCATTCCTATCAAAATTGTTATGCCTACCTGTTTCTACGAATAAATTGTGAGATGATAATCTGAGTTTAATATATTTCTTACTTTCATAGAGTCAACAATATCCAAGTATTTAGACCAGCTAAAATCGGTTTTGATATGTTTATACAAATACAAAGAGGAACAAATATTAACACTAGAACACCAATGTGTGATATAAATATCTTTTAAACGACACTATATACATTCACTCAATAAACACTGACATGTTGTATGGTATTAATATCCTATAAGACAATTAATATGTTCCTGCCTCTACCTCTTAAACATGTAGCATTAAAAATATGTTTGACCTCTCAGAATTATCTATGAAAGTTTGTATTTTGCATTTTAAAACATTTATCATGCGCTTCATAGATGATACTAGCCTGGTTCCAGTCTGTCGATTTTTTATGTGCTTCTGTTCGACAAATCGACATACTATCAAAACCAGAGATGTTGTGTTATCTATGACGATCGAGTATGAAATAGCGCGTATGTTATTAATAAGCAAAAAATATCAACGCCTGAAACCCAGGCTAAGATGATACATGATCGCGTCCTTTTCCTATTATCGTTTTTAATATTGCAAAAGATCTCACATGAAACAAATAAGTGTAAAAATGAATGATAATTTTTTTTAAAGAAATACTATAATGGAGTATAATTGTTCTTGTTTTAGTAATTTAAAACCGTATTCATAAGGTTCAAACATATGCAAATATGTAAAACAACATGATATTATACAGGATTGAAATGGAAGTCAATGATAAGTTTGCATACTAGTATACATGTACATTAATAGTATATATACCATACTATGTAGCGCGTTAATGCTAAACGATAACTTGTATAATCTCTCTTTCGTTTATAAATAAAGCCATTCATTGTGGATATTTTTTTTTCGAGGTTGTTTGGGTTTTAACAATAAGATTACTGTATCACACAGTATCGATAATAAAACAATTTTTATCGAAAAGTTCACTTTTTTGTTCGAAGACGTTTTCTTGTTTTCTTAATAATTTTCATGTTCACTTTGGATAGAGGAAGCGGTTACACTATGCTTACCCTTCACGAACGTGTCACTCCTCTTTTTATTTATTATCTGCTTTGAAGTAGAATTTCATGGATAAAATTAAACTATGATTGTGTCTCATTATGAGAATATTTGAGAGAAAGATAAAGATTCGGTAAACTTGATTTCAATAACTTTAGTTGCTAGTTAATATTTAACGATTTTAAACAATTTTTGTCTTGATTTGATGATGTACTTAATTGCCTGGTATATAAAACCTCTTATACACAAACTTAAACTAACTATCCTTAAAAAGCAATGTAAAACATTACAACAATTGTACAATACGAATAAGTAAATCACAAATATACGTTTTATGATATATATGTGATAATAATACAATATTTTCTGAGCATGCAGAATAAGTTCTTTGAAGTTAAAAAGTAGTTATCAATTTAGTTACCAATTTTGCGCTAAAACAAGTTCAAAGGTTATGCGGAAGACGATCAATCATGTACAACATTAAATTATGAATGAATGACAAAAAATGAAAATAACAACTAACATTGCCGTGGATAATGAAACTTTCAAATTGAATGAGTTTACAAATTATGCTTCTGATTCACTACACATTACTGAAAAAAAAACATAATTTATTCTGTGTAACACTGTATACAAAACAAAAACGATATTTATACACTAAGGAAAAGTTTCAAAATGACTACTTATGAAACAAATTTATTTAATTTGTTTGTTTTATGTTCAGGATTGTGAAAAAGGTTTACTATGGATTATTTTTGTTGTATCAGATGAGGCATATACTAGTATGTAGAATCAAAAACTTAATATAATGTTCTTTCCAGCTGTCATTTCCATCTTACATTGAATACCTTAATTGTGTTATTTCCATAATTATATTGCGAGGAAGAACAACAACTAATGAACAGTCTGTGATCTCTTTCACTGTATGTTACAGTGTTAGGAGCAGCCAGATTTGCTTGCTCGAATCCCACAACCTCACATTTCTTGAAGCTGCTCGACAGTCTTTCAATACGTGGATTGTTACTGTAGCACACTAGCAGTGTTCCATCTTCTAACTCTTGTATTCCATTTGGAAATCCTAGTATGCAATCCTCGTATGTTTGTACGACCGTACCTTGCCAGTCCATTTTTATACACTTGCCAGTCTTGCGAGAGAAAAATATGTCCTTGTAATTAGATACATACATGAATTTCTCATCCCTGCTAATAATAATCTTTTGAGGTGAATCAAACAATCCAGGAGCATCAAACGCCTGTGTTATATTTCCTATAATATCTAAAATAACTAGCTTTCTTCTGCTAAAACAACCACAGCCGACTACTAGCTTACCTTGACCATAAGCTACACACTTACACTCTACTCCAACATTTATTCGACGATCTAACGTCAAAGTTGAGGCATTGTAAGACATCATCTGTAAACACTTTTCATCAGGTATGGCGACTGCAAGCTTATTGTCTGGAAGCTTTGTAACATCAGATGGTGCCGAAGACAGGGTTATTTTTGATATCAGCGCTCCCGTGTTTACATCAATCATTTTAATAACTTTATTGCGATTATCAGCCACAAGCATTCGTGTGTCAGAAATCATTACCATTCCAACGATATTACATTGATTTTCAGATGAAAATGTCATGTAACATGCTTTTTCATATTGAGCTTCTAATTTCATATCTGCTGTGGGTGCTTCATACGTTAAAGTAGTTCCAAAGCTTTTCGCAATCTTCAACTGCATAAGTATATCTTCGTCACGGACAAATTTGATGCAATCATCTGTTTTGTTGTACTCGATAGCGCGTGTTCCTTTGTCAGTTAGTGTTGTCATAACGGATCGTACATTTTTCATTTCAATAAAAAGTTTTTTGTGTTTGTTTTCCTTATTTAAAGCATTTAAAACTGATTGTGAACGCTTCACTTCCTCAACTATCTCTCCGCAGACAACTTTGACATTCTTGAGTTTTAGCTTTGCTGCGGTAGTAAGATTATCGGCTTCCTTTACTATTATAGACTCCATCTGATCCAAATATGCGTTTATTTCTTTCCTGAAAAACTTTATTTCTTCAACGACTTTTCCATGACTTTGATCAAGTTGTTTTGTCGAAGCTTCAGTCCGTCTGATTTTTGATCCATACTCCTTGACCATCATTTCCATCTTTGTAGTCAAATTTTTCAACTCGTCCGACAAATTTCCTGAAACATCAGGAATATAGTCCACTCTACATTGTTTATGTTTAAGTGTAACACACACGTAAAATGTTATAGCATCGTGATTGTTACAGTAGAACTCCAGAGGTTTATTTGTATGTTCAGTACAGTTGTCCGTTGTATCCAAGTTAATGTCAACGGTAATTGGCTGAAGTGGCATTTCGTCTTTGTCAAGCAGTACGTGATTCCTAGCTGGCTTTGGTCTTGTATGATGTTCAAAGCAAGTTTTGCAGAGGTGCTCCTGGCAGTCTTGACAATAGCCATAAGCCGGCTCCTTCCGTCCATCTTGGTCGCATGGAAAACAGAATAATTGAGGGATCTGCTTTGTGTCTACAGTTATCTGCCCAGACACCTCCATTTTGTTATAAAAGAAGAGTATTGATCTAAAAAGAAAGTGTTATTACAAGTCGTATTTATGGTGTTAAATATAAAGGTCATTTATCTCATTATATAATTTTGTATAAAAAACTGATTCCATTAGACTCGTACATAGCTACAAATATGTATTAGACTCGCCCAGCATTTCGTTCAATATTGGCTCGACAGCGTTGTAATCGTCCAATAAAATTCAGATTTGTGTATAATAACCTCATAATACTAATTTTCGGAAACCGGGATCCGTGACTTTTTGAACATTTACAGAAACAAATAAACTGATTTGGTTTTGCTATTTGTCGTAATTAGTGGCGTTATTTATTTTATTCATATATACATGCACAACTCACTTATGACATAAAATGTGTAACTTAAACTTAAATATATTGTGATTATCATAGAGACTGTTAGATATCAGCATTGATCTTCATTTATTTGTAAAAGGATTGATTGTATATCATGAACCGTATGGGCTCGTAACCTTTTGTGAATAAAGTGATTGTTTTAAAGACTAGTATATCGATTTAAAAAAAAGATTAAAATACCATAAGGGTTATACCAGCCAAAACATAAACTAACTTGAAATACGGTTTCGGGCGTCGCGGCATTTTTCGTTATGCACTAGCAATTTTGTTAATTGCAAGACGTTTAACTTTGGGACTACCACATCTCTATATAAATCTCAGTCATTAAGACTGTTCTATCCAGGGAATAGATCCACAATTCACTAACATGGTGTGGACAGTCGCTAGATCCAAAACAATTTTTGTAACTAAAATTCAACAATTCAATTGTATAAAAGCAACCGGAAGGTTCAAACCCAGTCAGGGGCAAGCCGATTTCTCTTGAACACTCATTCCTATGTACTGGTTGGACAATGTATAGAAAAAATTTCAAACAAATTAAATTTCTGTTACGATTATTCTGCATTACCTGATACTTACGAAAAAAGGTAATAGTGTAATTTAGTTCTTATGTAAGAAATGTTTAAGCAGAAGAGAGTGCTATCTAAAACAAATATTATATTCTTTTGATTTCCTTGAAGAAAATATTTGCTACTTATACGACATAAATAAATAATATGGAATGTGGTAGTTACTGCAATATTGCGAAAAAAGAGATACGCCCTTATAGCATTATCAAAAAAGTAGATATAAAGAAATAAAAGCAGTTACATAACAAACATAATGTTAAAAGTAACATAAAACTATTTTGGAAAACAATGTAAATACAGTCTGTAGTTCGCTTCTGATTTTTTTTTTGTCGAAATAATATTCATTAAATAATTGATTTATTCTAGATTGATAATAAAAGTGCTGTTTCATGTCATGTGAAAAAAACTTTTGAATGGGGCTATTCCTTAATGTTTTACAATTTTATGGATTTCTCTTCATAAAAATATTCTTATTGAATACAAATAAAAGAAATTAAAAAACCATTTAGTAAACATTCATGGGCTCATCGTTTTAAACACGAAATAAAGTTTTAAATTTCTTACCTTTTTCAATGTGTCTCAACTCGATCTTTGGGACGCGGAAGATTAAATACTTGTACTGTACACAAGGGACACAACTTTTGCTTCTCTTTTTACGGATATAATGCATTTAGGGTCTTAACTTAAAAACACGCCTACATATTTTATTTTTAAAAATGGAATAGCTCTGTATTGTGAAAGCATTGTCAACTTAACCTAGCTTTAGGCACTTAAAATTCACCCCCAAAAATGAGTTTTACTCTGTCATATTTAGAATGGAAATGGTAAAACCGGATAAAAGAATATTAGTTTTATGCATATTTACTTTTATATTAAGATCATAAAACTTGCAAAGAATCATATAGGTTATGGAAATAATAATTATTCATTTATTATTATGATTTGAGGTTTCTTAAACATTTCTTGCATAGATCAAATGCAACTCTAAAAACAGAAAAAAATGCAAAAGATAATAAAGAACAGAAAAGAACAAATGAGAGAGTTGTATTAATTCTGGGCTAAATATATTTAGTATATTTATACAAATACATTTATACAACGTCTCAAAACGGCATCAGGCAATGATATAAATATTTTAACTTTGTTTGCAAAAGATTTATTGATCTATGAATTATTGTACATGTATATATCATTTGTATTTATGATTTAATACCTTATATTGTATGATCTGTTATGGCTATGGATAAAATTTGTAAGTTTCTGAGCTGAATTAAGAGTATTGCGTTGAAAATAGCCGGTTTTTTTTTATTTTTCGATGGTTTACCTGCCTTAAATCTTTCTTTAGCAATGTTAGGGTAAAATCTCTCTGTTTGTTTAGGACGACATGTGCCATAGTGTATTGAAAAGTGTCACACCGCACTTGGGGTCAAACGCACTTTTGGGTCCAACCCCAAATTGCATTACACTTCGCATCGCACTTTGGGGTCCAACGCACTTTGGGGTCAAAATCGAGAAATCGACCCCAAAGTGCGTTAATATGCTATAGATCAACGCACTTTTGGTTCAAAAGTTCTGAGCGTGTCAACAGACTTCTGCTTAAATACTGAGTTCTGACTTATTTTTGATTTGCGACATTGAAATATTTTAGGTGGAGTTCAAGAATTGATGCTTAAGTGATAAAAGTTTCATTAATTTTACCACTTGAAATATCTAAAAATTGTGTCCAAATAACAAAGTACTCTTACTAGTACATAAATTGTGAATGTATCAAAAATTAAAAGATGCTGCTAAAATATCCTGTTCTGTTGGTCATTTACTTGATAACTTTTGGTGCCAGATATGCTAAATGAATGGCTATTTCAACATATAATCAGGCACATTTTTTTACTGAAATGTCTTTTTAAGATTTCCCAGAATTTATACTTTTGTCTATGCTAAGACTTTTATATTTTTATAAAATGTGTAAATAAAAGGGAAAATGATGAAATTAGCTAAAAACAATGGAGTTGGTAAAAAGTGTATATTTTTTTAAATAAATGGAAAATGTGAGATAAATATATTTAGAGCTTATTAATTGATACAAATTCTTTATTTGATGAAAGTTCTTCACTAACTGATCATTTAAAATCCCTATTGATTTTGATTTTGCTATAATTCATGACACATGTTTTTCCTCTATTTAATATCTTGATTTATGTTTACCATTGACTTTGACTATAATATATTATTTAAAACATCATGGAAATTCATTTTATTGATTGCATTTTTGTGATCTCAAAGTGCGGTTGTTTGTATGATGTTAAAAATGCGTATGTACCTGTTTAACGCACTTTGGGGGTCAAAATTGGACCCCAAAGTGCGTAACGCAATCTTGGGTCGACCCCAAAGTACGTTACGCACGTTACACGTTCATCTCGGTATAGAAAAGGTTGGGGTTACTTGCTATGTTACATGTTAATATTGTCAGTAAGACTGACATTGTTATTATGTTATTTTCTCAAGTTTACAATGTAAATGTCAGCAGAAGAAGTGTGAATAATTGGATGAATTGCTATGAGAAATTATGGATCATTTGCCAAAGTAAAAAGTAAAAAAAAAACCGTTGAATGATAATTAAATAGATTGCATTGAATTTTATCTAAAAGAAAATTCGGAATTCAATTCGCTTGAACTGAAGACATAAATAAAATCAGTGTTTTGCTTTCAAAGTAAGTGAAAGGACAGTAAGATATATACGAGTAAAGTCGTTACTGATGAATCAGCAATCAAACCAAAATCACCTACCAGGAAATTATGTATTGAAAATTAATGACACTGCGTGAAAACCGAAACATCCTTTTGTGTTGCATGCTTTGCATGAACATGTCTGCAGATAGAAACCCTGAAATACAAGTGTACCTTGTACACATGAATGCGGACTACTATCAATGCACAATTAGAGGGCGTTTGATTTCATTCAGTGAGGAAAATCATCCAGAAGTATTTGATTGATGCCAGACAATGGACCGAACTATGTAAACCAGTCCACAAAATGGACAATTTAGCAAAATACATCGATGGGTCACATCTAGTGTCGAAAATGTTATCGTTTTCGACTACAGTTCATTTTGCAAAGTACAATTTCTTCTAAAAACATTTAGCTAAAATTGTATTTAGTATTCAAAAGTGGACTGAGTTAGATAATGATATGATCAGTACGAATAACCTTATGATAATCTTTTTTGATAGACTGTTGTATCTTTTAATCAAGATGCCTTGTTTTGATGTATTTCACGAATGAAAGAAATATGGCTTTTGGTGTATATAGTGGACACATTGCATATCGGTAACATGTTCCAGGTGTTAAACAACAAAGCCAAAACTATGCAGGACAGGGTGATCCTGTAAAATTACCGTTTGTAATTCTGCTGTAGTTTCTGCTGTATGTCAAAGAAGACTCTTTAAATGTTTGGCTGAAAATTATCAATAGTGTTTCTTCCCTTATTTATACCGTGTATTGCAGAAGCTCCTATCAAAGTAAACGAATGCAAATGGCCCTCGCCATACAAGCAAAGTCGTAAATTGCCCATATGACATAGGCCTTAGCTCGCACAGTGATATGAGCCGTGTCATGATAAAATAAAACATAATGGGTTTGCGACATGCATGGATCCAGAACAGCCTGCGTATCCGCGCAGTCTGATCAGGATCCATGCTGTTCGCTATAAGTTTCTTTACTTGTTATAGGGTCTGTAAGCGAACAGCATGGATCCTGATCAGACTGCGCGGATGCGCAGGCTGGTCTGAATCCATGCTGGTCGCAAACGCATTATGTTGGTTTTGTCGTGATACGGCTCATATTTTGCTTTTTAATTATATCGTATCTTCATACGCAAAATTTCCCAAGCCGATCCTTAGTACTAATTGGCATGCCTTTTTACGGATTGGTCAGTGCTATGACTTTAATGTCCCCACTTTGTCGATATACGGTATTTTGTACTCGAGCAAGAACAATGTCTAAAGAAATAATGAACTGATATTGCAAAGAGTTGATGTTTATATATAATTTTTACTGGATAGTTTGAAACCAAGTCAACTCCTTGCGCAAAGGTATTCCTCATTTATTACAATGAGTTTTAGCAAGAATTCATATTTAAATTCCTTTAATTTGTATGTATTAACGATCACAGTGTAAAAACGAGATTACCTTTTGGTATCACAAAGTACAACTTTTTATATATATTATCTCCAAAAAAGCAGATTGTTGTAATTGTAAGACATGTTACAAATTAAATTATAAAGGCGTTCATGCAAAGTGATGAAGTCTTATGCATTCGTTACATTGACATTGATAAACGATAAAAAACATTGCTGTTTAAACTCAAAATGTTTTCACTGCCGTTATTTGCCTGAAACAGCAGTTTAAATAAGCCTAAGGATTTCCTTCCCTTTCATTTAACAATAAAGTCATTTCGATATGGGTGCATTTTTTTCGAGGAGGGCAGTATTGATTGTTTGAGTTGAAACAATAAACTCACTGTTCCGACACGGTATCGTTAATCAGTCAATTTTAAGGGTTCACATTTTTGTCAGAAATCGTTTTCTTAATAGTTTTCATATTTACTTTTAATCGCGTCGATACCTGCTATATAAAACGACAATTTTACAATCCATCTAGAGAAAATAATTTAAAACATTACAACAATTGTACGATACGAATAAGAAAATCATAAATATACGATTTAGGATTTATTTATGATAATAATACAATATTTTCTCAGCTTCCGAATAAATATCTTGAAATTAAATAGTTATCAATTTAGTAACTTATTTTGCGCTAAAATAAGGAAAAAATGTGCGGAAGACGAATATAATTATATTAGAACATTAAATTATCAATATATGAAAATAGAAAATAACAATTAACGTTGATATGGAAAATGAACCATTCAAATTGAATGAGTTTACAAATAAAGCTTCTGATTCACCTCACATTACTAAAAAAACATAAAATTTATTCTGTGGAACAAACAAATGCATTTAATTTGTTTTTTCATGTTATGAAATTATTTAAAAGTCTGACATGGATTACATGTGTTGTACTGGTTGAATCATTATACTAGTTTGCAGAATCAAAATCTTAAGATTATGTTCTTTTCAGCTGCTAATTCCATCTTACATTGAATACCTTGATTGTGTCATTTCCATTTAAGAACATCGAGGAAGAACAACTTATAAACAGTCTGTGATCTTTTTCACTATATGTTACAGCATAGGGGTAATAAACGTGTGCTTCCTCTAATCCGACGACCTCACATTTCTTGAAGCTGCTCGACAGTCTTTCAATGCATTGACTGTTCTTGTAGCACACCAGCAGCGTTCCATCTTCTAACTCTTGAATTCCCGTTGGGAACACATATTTCTGATCCTCGTACATTTGTACAACAGTACCTTGCCAGTCCATTTTTGTACACTTTCCAGCATATACGACCTTGTAATTGGTTACATACATGAATTTCTCATCACTACTGATAACAATCTTTTCAGGTGAATCAAAGAATCCAGGGGTATCAAACACCTGTGTCATATTTCCTGTTGTATCTAAAATAACAAGCTTTCTTGTGCCACTACCACAGCCGACTACTAGCTTACCTTGACCATAAGCTACACACTTACACTGTTCTCCAACATCTATTCGATGATGTAAATACAAAGTTGAGTCATTGTAAGACATCATCTGTATACACTTTTTACTAGGTATGGCGACTGCAAATTTATTGTCTAGAAGGTTTATAATATCATTTGGTCTCGAAGGCAGAGTAATCTTTGATACCAGCTTTCCCGTGTCTGCATTAATCATTTTAATAGTTTTATTGTTATTATCAGCCACGAGCATTCGTGTGTCAGAAATCATTGCCATTCCAACGATATTGCATCGACTTTCAGATTTTAATGTCATGTCGTATGATTTTTCATATTGTACTTCCAATTTCTTATCTGCTGAGGGTGCTTCATATGTTAAAGAAGTTCCAAAGTTTTTTGCAATCTTCAACTGTTCAAGTATCTTTTCGTTTCGGACAAATTTGATGTCATCATCTGCTCTGTTGTCTCCGATAGTGCGTTTTCCTTTGTCTTCAAGTGTTGTCATAACGGATCCGACATTCTTCATTTCAATAAAAAGCTTATTGTGTTTGTTTTCTTTACTTAAAGCATTTAAAACTGACTGTGAACGCTTCACTTCCTCAGCGATCTCTCCGCATACAACTTGCACATTCTTGAGTTTAAGTTTTGCTGTGGTAGTAAGATTCTCGGCTTCTTGTAACATTACTGACTCCATCTGATCCAAATATACGTTTATTTCTTTCCTGAAAAGCTTTATTTCTTCAACGACTTTTCCATGACTTTCATCGATATGTTTTGTCGCAGTCTCAGCCCGTCTGATGTTTGATTCAAACTTCTTGACCAACTCATCCATCTTTGTAGTCAATTGTTTTAGCTCGTCGGACACGCTTCCTGAAACATCAGGAATATAGTCCACTTTACATTGTTTATGTTCAAGTGTAGCACAAACGTAACATACTACAACTTCATGATTGTTACAGTAGAAATCCAGTTGTTTATCCCTATGCTTAGTACATGTGTCCGTTATGGGATCCACGTTAATGTCAACGGTAATTGGCTGCATTGGCATTGCGTCTTTGTCCAGCAAAATGTGATTCCTACATGGCTTTGGCCTTGTATGGTGTTCAAAGCAAGTTTTGCAGAGGTGCTCCTGACAGTCTTGACAATAGCCATGAGCCGACGCCTTCAATCCGTCTTGGTCGCATGGATGACAGTATAATTGCGGGATCTGCGTTGTGTCCTCAGTTATTTTCCCAGATACCTCCATTTCGTTCTAAAATAATAATATAGATCTATAAACGACAGTGTTATTACAATTCGTTTCGGACAAAGTATAAAGATGATTTGAGGTAATTTTGATAACAGTTTAAGCCACCCTGGATATCAATAACTCGCTTATTGCAAGTCCAAAAGATCGGACTATAAACACTAGTGGGTTTTATTAAAGCAATATTATTCACTTATCAGAATAGGTAATGTGCGATTCACATAGCCATTCCGTCAGCAGACTTATCTTTAATATCGGCGGTTTAGAGCTGTTACGGTCTATCTACATTTTTGTTGTACTTTTATTATATTCTCATAAAATTAAGTTGTTCCGTAATATGAAGATCGGAACATATGATCTTTAAATATAAATCATTATTGGGTCAAATATTATTAATATCCTGCGTTAACAAAATCCATATAAA